GTTTAACTACTACAGGCTGGATGCACTGTTTAGATTCTCTTGTGATAAATTACTTTGCAGCAATTAAACTGATTTGGTTAGTTTTAAGCAACTATCTTCACCTGCTTTTTTAAAGTAGTTTGGGCTCTTATTACTTCTCATCACACAACTTGACTGCTTGCTACTTCATTTAACTCCTGACAAACAACAGGGAGCACTTTTTACTACTTCCAAATTAGGGTGGAACAACTGGAGCGCTGCAAGGAAGTCTGAGATATGCAGCTCATCCTGAGGAGCATGCAATCGCACTTCTGTCTGAAGCCTGCATACATTTTCCACTATTCCACTATTTCCACTTCTTCACACAGAGTTTACTAAATCTGACAACTTACTGAGAAGTCAGTTTATGGAGAATGCACAGAGGGAACTCCAGACATAGCCTGTGCTCTTCAGAAGCCACCAAGGCCGTTTTCCTGGTTGGCATGAAGTGGCTACTTGAGAATGATCCAATGCACATCTTTTCCCAAGGCCAAGCAAGCTGTTTCCAGAGGTACCAAACATGACCATTACTGGCAGTAAGAGGCTGGGCCTGGTTCTTTGCTCTAGGTATAACCCCAGAATTAACCTAATTTTGCTTGTTGCCCACTGCATCAGCATTTTTATATTCCCTTGCTTGACCATCATCTATTTTATGGAAAACGCTGGAGAGAAGAGACAGGAAGGACACGTGAACAGATTCCCACAGCTGTATAATGAAATTAGTCTGCATTCTCCTCTCAAACACATAGCCCCATTTTATCACCACCTGGTCACAAACAACACAGAAGACAGCAAAGGAGTGCAGGGAAAAAGAGGGAGACAGGCCTTCAGGAGGAAGGCATAGAAGCAAGCAGAAAAAGAAGTGAACACTGTGTTATGTATGCAAATGACATTAAATTGCCAGGAATTGAGAATACTAATGAGGACAAAATATGGGAGGGAAGCAAGCATTCAGAAGACAGACAAAAATAATTTAAGTATTTGAGACCAGTATTCCACAGTGGGCCTGAAATCTAGCAAATTCTGTCAGTAATGAGCAGAACAGGAACAAGCAAGAAGCACAAACTTTGCAGGGAAACTGCAAAACAGTGTGATTTTGAACTTTTCACATACACACAGACATGTCAGATTTTTCATGCGGTTTTTTTTGTACATATCTTGCATCATTCCACCTGAAATTCAAGTCTAAATTTTAAATTGCCCAAACTAAGGGAAAACTTAAAAGCTAGCACTGCCTGAGAGGCTGTCCCACAAGGACAGAACACAAGTGTGCAACCTGAACTAACAGTCACTGCATGTTCCCTGCCTGTGACACTCTGTTGCTACTTCAGGAAAGAAACTTTCCTAATGAGAAACACACATACCTATGGAACTACAGGCAGAGGCTGAACCTAAAACAAAACAGATTCAAATTATAAGTAAGGGAAACTTACAGTTATTAAACTGCAAATGAGACTTTTCATGGAAGAATTCTATGCAATAACTGTTGATTTGTATTAAGTCGAGTTCTTTGAAGTTCACACATTTGTGAAAAGATGTTACAGAGGAAGCATATATAAAGTATCAGACTTGGATTCAATTACACTTTATAGAGCAACTCACTAGCAACGCGCTAGAGCCCTAATTCTTTGCATGATAAAGCAAACTACACACGCTACTTACAGTACAGAAAAAACTACTATTTATTTCTTCCACTAAATGTATTTAGCATACAAATAAACTCTTCAGAATTTCCACAGGATAATTTACTAATCACCACCCCAAACTGTTAATTTATCTAACACCCAGGCACCAACGGCTCATCTGCACACTCCCACTCTTTTTTGGCCCAAAGGCAGCCAAGGCAGCCAGAATCACATGCTTTTATGCAGCAGTGAATAAATGAGGGGTGCACACAGAATCCAGGACCAGTGACAGAATTTGGCCAAGTAATTGTCAGCATCTGTGCTACTTAAAGCTGCCCTTCTTGTTCCTTCCTGCCCCAATGCCAAACCCCCACCACATTCACACAACACTAAATGGGGCTGCAGGGTGAACCCAATTAACAACCTGAGCTGCATTTTAACCCCCCACTTTGTGTTTGTAATAATTTGTAAAGTAGTCACAGGGAGGTGCAGTAGCTCAACTGCTGGTGTGGCACACGAGGGGACAACCAGCAGCAAACACTGTGTTGTCCAAGTGTCCCTTCAGCTTTGGAAGTAGCTGCCTTCAGCTACAGGGACACAACCCCCATGGTGCTCTGAAATTTAAAGTTTCTCTGTCCACATATTACTACTGGCAAGTGCCAGTAAGGCTAAAGCTGATTACTAACACCCACAGGTAACAGGACTAAATACACAAAGGGGTGACTGGTAACACAACAGCATTGCAGCAAGTACTGCAAAGCAGTGAGGCCACATCACCCTGGTCCTGCTGAGCATGTACCTGGCCTTTACCACGGCTGTCACTGCTTCTCTCCTCAGTGATGCACAGATTAATTTTTCTTTCTAAAGGGAATGTCTTCATTCCTCGTGAAGTCCAAAAGCCCTGTCCAGTAGCACTTTCATTTACACAGAGCGTTCATGAGTTCATCAAGGAAGAGTAAATTAGTCATAAGGGAAAGGGGAGGGGAAAAACAGGGACATGAGAGCAAACACTCAAAATACCATATCTGATTCAACCCTGAAGAGTTTAATTCCACACTTCGATTACTACATCTGAAATTGTTATTTCACTCTTTAAAAATTGTTCATCTAGTGTAGCTGTACACAGACTAAGCAAACCTTCAAGTAATTTAAAATCAAGATGTGCAATTTTCCACTGTGCATTCTTCACATGCCTCCTAAATCTAATGTGATCACTCACTGAAGAATGGCATCCAATACTGCTCTGTGCATGTTAAAATTAAGCTAACTACATGTTATTAAGTCTTTTCCTCACTGCTTGAAAACATCCCTAAAGAAAGAACAAACACCCATATATTAAGATGATGAACACTGTTTTACACATTAAATTAATATATACCCATGATGTCAACTTTTAATAAAAGTTAGCAATAATCTGATCTCTGCAGTCTGGTAAAATTAACATGTTTCTGTAAGAAAAATCAAGTATGGGAATAAACCTCCAAAGGCTAAACTTAACTGGTTTTGTTTTTACGTAAATGGACAGTTCCGTAAAGTCTCAAAAAATACCAAGTTTGTCATATCAGTTGGAATCAGCTGTATGTGGTCTAGCAGATTTGAAATAGATCTCTGAGACAATGATGTATTTTCAGTGTCACTATGCTGACATATGCAGAGACTCTTCCCTCCAATGGAGGTGGCCACCAGCATGATTTTCACAACCATGACAATATTTCTGCATGTATTTTGAACTACTGTATTCCCAATGGCAGAGGTGGTGCGATCCAGAAGTTCCCTTAAACTGCATAAAAATGTCCAGCATGTCACAGTGAGCCCAGCATAGTAGAGCATCCAGCCCACAAAATCCAAAATAAAAACAGTAAACATGGTCAATATTCTAAAGGACTTGAAGAGGACATTGAGAAAATGCAGATTATTAATAACTATCAAACAATCTGCTGGAAACTGTAACCCACAAGATGCTAATATTTGTATGTATACAAATAGGAGATATATTTTAAAACACCTCCTTTTCCATATTTGTCCCATTGTATAGAAACATCAATCTGGAGATTTTAATAAAACAGAACTTAAGAGTAACTTAGATAGTAAATAACTTTTAGCCATTATTTTATAAAATAAACACTTATGTTTTAAAAAGCCAGGCTTTATGTAATGACTGTCTTATCTTGAAATGTAATCTCACAGTCACTGTGACAAACTTTCATTGAAACACCTTCACTCCTCCCAATTTCAGTGGCTATTATTTAGCAGAAAGATACATTTGTAAAGTCGATTGTCCCGTTTTCAAGCTAAATATCTTGTGCTGGCTACTAATTATGTCACTCTTCACTAAAACAGCTGAATGAGAATTGTCATCTTCACAGCGAGGCGTTCTAAACGATATTTAGGTAGTTGGTGATTTTGACCTCCAAGTCAATCGGAACGAGTAGCTAGCTCACTGTGGCCGTCCTTCCTTTGGGAACGAAACCCTGCCGTACATTTGCCCAAAATAATTTTACAGCGTTAAATTCAGATGGAAGGTGTTGTTCAGAGGAGAGCAGGGCGTGCAAAAAACACCACCACAATGCAAAAAAATAGGGGAAAAAAAAAAAAAAAAGGCCCCGCTAAAGACACCACTGGAGACTACACCGGACGGGGGTAGGGAACATGCAAACGTAGTGCCTCCTTTATGGAGCCAGCGCAACTGCATGACGGTGCAGGATGCGGGCCGCGGGCTGTGCAGGCGCTACACATGGCCAGCGCTGCCCGCCGACCCGCGCAGGCCCGGCCGGCAGCGGGTTCTGTAAATAACCCTCGGAGGAGGGTTAATTAAAAATGGCGAGCAGCGTAGCTGCCTGCATACAATGAGCGGCCGGGCAGGGCAGGGCTGCAGCCCCCCGCACGCCCCGCCGGGCAGCCCCGCGACAGCCGCGTCCCCTTCCCTCGCCCCGGGCAAAACCCTGGCCCGGGATCACGGCAACTACTTTGACCGGACCCCCGTGCCCCCCCCGGCTCGCCCCCACGCCCGGCGGGAGGCTCCGAGGGTCCGGGGGCGCGGGGCTCCTTTTGTAGCGGCGCTTCCCCCGCGCCCTCCCCCCTCCCGCGGTGCGAATTCCTGCGGAGCCCCCCGGGCCGCCTTCCCCGGCCCCGCATCGCAACTTTCCCCGGCGTCCCCCCGCACCCCGCCGGGCAGCGCTCCCCGCGCCCCGGAGGTGCCGGGGCCAGCAGGAGCGGCCCGGGCAGAGCGTGTTTACCGCGGAGGGCGGCCCAGGATCCCCGAGGGGACGCGGCGGTGGGGGAGCCCCGGGAGCGGGTCAGAGGGGCGAGGGGGAAACTCTCCGCGGAGTTGAGGGCGCGGGCCCTGCCCGGCTTTACCTTCCATCTCCATGTCCTCGGGCTCGCTCAGCTGCTGCTCCCCGGGCTTCTGGTGCTGCTGCTGCTGCTGATGGTGGTTCATGTCGGGCTGGGGCTGGGGCTCGGCGGCGGCGGGCTGGGCCTTTCCCGCGGGGGGCTGCGGGCCTGTGTCGGGAGGGGAAGGGGCGGAGGAGCGGCGGGGCCTCGGCAGCGGCCGGGACTGGGCGCCCGGCTCGGGGGGCTGCGGCGGGGCTCCGGCGAGTAGGGAGCGGGGCGCCGGCGGAGGCAGCGAGACGCGCACGTATTTGCTCGCTATTCGCCCAATCTCGGCGGCGGCACCCGGTCGGGGAAAAGGGGCTGGGAGGAGGGACCGGCCGGGGGCGGCGGCTTCCCCGGGGGCCGGAGGGGAGGGAACCGGGAGGGGGGAACGGGAGACCCGGAGTCAGGGCCCGGCGGCGCCCGGCGCTTCCCCTTCCCCCGGCGAGGTGTCCGCGGCGCTGCGAAGTCGGGGAGGCGCCGCGGGGCCCCTGCCGTGCCCTCCCGCCCCCCCCGGCGCCCCGGCACCGCCGCTGGCCGACGCCCGGCTC